ATACACAAAGTTAATATTAATTGAAAGAAAAAATTAATTGATTTTACCCGCCAAGGGAAAAATTCAGCGTTTTGTACCAAGATACTCAAAAATCTGGACTTCCTCACGTGGAAAAAAATCAACTGGAAGTTTTCTTAAAATCGAGTTTAACGCTCCCGTTACTACAAATAACATTTTGTTGTTGAAAGCCTTTGATCGTTCACATTAAAAAAAGGAGGCCTTTTCTCTTGAAAAAATTAGGCCCGCTCGTCTTTTTTTAAGCCAAAGAATGTCTCAGCACCATTTTGATTGCGCCCTTAAGGTACTCACCCTGCTTATGCGAAAAACAACTCTTTATTATCTTGTTTAATGCCTAAAAATGCACGCTGCGGTTCGCATATTGGCAGTTTTTCTTGCTGAAATTTGGAATCTAGATTACGCTCGAGATATATTTTTCTCAGTCGTTTTCCTTTTTTTTTCTCAGAAACCGCAAAAGTCCAAGACGATTGTAAGCACAAGGCAAATCCGATTTTTCATTTTATTATCTAGCGCCCCGAAAAATTGAGAGAATTGAGAGAACAACCTGCCTTGAGGCGAAAAGATGTTTTGAAAGCTACTGGTATCCGACTCCCGAATTGCAACTAATAAGCCTTTGAACAATAAAATCTACACAATATTTTGCTCTAAGTTTATGCATTCATCAATCGTGTTTTTATGCGGAATTATCAACTTGCGCTGGCATTTTCCAATCCACTAATTCCTAGATCAACTCTAGTAATTTGTCAAGCAAACGGATTACTGAAATTGACCTCGAACTCACTTCATCTTAATTATCACGTACTTATTAGCGATCCCCCGTTGAATTGACCAAGTTGTACAAATTAAGGAAATGAATAATGCGTTAAAGTTATGCAATTAATGGCGCAAAAACCCCACTGTATGCCAGATACTGATTAAGCCTCTTAAGCTATCAACACCTGTTTATGAAAGCGTTGAAACAAATTAAATAAATTGCATTTTTTGCGGATAAATAGTGCAATTGCTCAACAGTCCTGGTTAGAGCGGTCGAAACTGGAAACTGAATTGTGCTTTTGTTCTTTTCCAGATAGATATAGATATGACACCGAACCGATGCATCACAGGACAGAACATTCAATATTTATCGAACTGCTCGAAAACGACGAATTGCATAAACAGCAAAAGAGAGATGTGGAAAGTCGAGTGGCCTCCAGCCTGCCCATATCTGGGAATATAACCGAGAGGGTAATACCTTTGGTAAGACTTTTTTTAATTAAGTATTTATATTAATAATGTCAAGAGGTAAGCTTACGCACGGAGTTGCGTAACGCTTTTCCGTACTGTATAATGAATATTACATTAATTTGGTTGAAGCTAAAGGTGTGAGAACGATGCTAATATAATATTGTTTTATGTCTTTTTTTTTACTCCAAGTTGGAGATTTTTTAATTAAAATTTACACCAAAAAGTCCACTTCGGAACACTAACAAACTCTTCAGATTATTGTCGTGTCTTTTTACCAAATCTGATATTTCTCTGAATTTGCTGTCCGAGAAATCTGCCCATGAAAGTCTAAAATACATTTTTTATATCGTTTATTTCATAACGTTTCGGCGAGACAACAGCGCCATCATCAGATTTAAAATTCATACAAACTCATAATTGGGAAATATTAGATTCTTTTAGGTCTTT